ACATCCAGCCTACAGGATGCTGCCGGCTCATGGAGCTCTGGCTTTATTTGTAGCTTTTACCGTTTCTGCCGCTGATAAAGCACAGCCAAACTAACCTCAAACCAAAAATGTCGGCAACCACAGCTCCCAGTTAACCAGGCACCGGTCCGGTGCTGGGAGGGAGGCTGCTAGCAGCCACCAGCCCCGCAACAGTGGCAATGGCAGGGGCCGTTGGACTGGGACAACCAGCAAGGGAAGATCTTGGCTTACCCACAGTCAGATCCATGTTGTGCCTCTCACCCAGTGCTCGCAGCCGGTACAAACACCCGCTCTGATAGTAGTATTGGAGGAACTGCACAAAGCCTGCAAGGAGAACGTGGCTGCACTCAACAGGTGCCCACCCATCGTCCCCTGGCCCCAGCATCAGCTCTGAGATGTCTCTGCGCATCCCAGTGCCAGGACGGTGGAGCACAGGACAGAGGCCAAGGGAAAACCCAGGTGAGGCAAGAGCCGTGAGCCGCTCAGGACCCGTGAGCCGCTACAGCCAGGTGCCCGTGTGCCACAGAGCTGGGCAGCTGCGGTCCCGGCCCCCTGGCCCAGCACACATGGCAGCACTTACTCTGGTACATGGAGAAGGAGAGGAACTGGTTCCTGAACATCTGGTACATGAGCCCATCCGGCCTGCGGAGAGATGGTGCTGCTGGGGGACGTGGGGCTGGGAGGAGACACAGCCAGCCCTGCCTGCGCCAGCCGGGCTGAGGGCACCGCAGCCCTGCCCAGCTCCCACCAGCATGGGGACGCCTCGACACAGGCACCGTGTCGCGACACCTCGTGTGTCCCCACCCAGGGACCCTGCCTGCCGCACAGAGGTGCCCGTGGCTATGGTGAGGAACACGTGGAGTTGACTGTTAGACCACAACGCCCAGAGCAGGACGATGGCCATGGGTTCGGGCAGCGAAGGGCCCTTCACCTGCGCTGGCCACAGCCGAGACGGAGGGACGCAGACTCACCATGTCAGCATGACACCTGAGAGGAAGGTGGAGACGTAGTGATGGAAAACCCACCAGCCTTTGATCCTGGAAGGCAGAGACAGAGAAGAGGCATCAGGTCTTGAGCATGAATTGAGACCCAAACACGCACCAGGAGAGCAGCACCAGCTGCCCTCCCGCTCCCAGGGCAAGGCGAGGAGCAGGGCCGGCTACGAAACGGCTGGGTGGGGAGGCGGACCCACCAGTGCTGCTCCACCTTTCCGCACCGCCTCCACGCGGGGAGTTCCTCCTACCTCGCTCCTACAGCTCATTGCCAGGGTTTGCCACACGCCCTGAGTAGGAGGGAGCTGAGCCCTTGGGAAGCAGGGAGCTACACGGTGGGTCCCACCTCCCCAGCCTTGCAGAGAAGGACCCGCTTGCTGCACACTCCTCTCCCCCCTGCCCTCCCCGAGCTCCTGAGGGACTCACTTGGATCCATTGTTGATCAAGATGCTCTCCCGGATGGTGAGGGTGCAGTAGTACCACACCAGGAGGAAGTTAAAGACGGCATCTGTCACCCTGGTGTGAAACAAAGTGGGGCGATGGGGTCACAGGCACCAAGAGCCACCACTGCAGGACGCCCACCCACCCTGCAGGCAGGGAGACCTGCTTTTCGCCACCCACCGTGGCCACAGCTGGATGGCAGCAGCCAAAAAAGCCACCCCACCCCCAGGGCAGTAGCCCGATCCTTTGTCAGGATCTCCTGTTCAGTTCTGGACCTTTCAGGATGGGAGAGGAGGACACAGGGGCCCTGGCAGGAGATCTCTGCCTGGCATCCAAGCCAGACTCACCTGGAGTTGAGGAGGAACCGACAGGAGAAGGACACGATGAGTAAGATGATGGTGAGGTAGAGCTTGAACTTCTCATACTCATCTTTATATGCGAACCTGTGAGGAAGCACAAGGACTGGCTTGGAGGAAGGTGGCTGCTGGAATTCTGTCCTCGCATCCCACCTGGCTGATAAAAGTGACATTCCATGTCTCCTCTGAGACATGCTCAGGAAAAAACCTCGTCCCCTGGGTGCTTCTGAGAGGAGAGCACACGAGGCTGCTTCCACACAGGTGAGACAGCTTCAAGTCACCCCCCAACCATGCCAACCTGGTGGGTGGCCCAGAGGGCTCTGGGAAGCCGGGCAGGTTGGCATCTGCTCAGCTCTTCAAGAGGGAGCCTGGGGAACTGAGAGGTGGGCACGGGCTCCTGGCTGGGCACCACTGGCAGTAGTGTCCCAGTGTGTGGGGGGCTCTCGTACACCAAACCAGGCCATTGGCGTTTCCCCAAGGGAAGAGGAGGGAGCCCGCCCGGAAAAGTCCGCCTCTCCTGGAAGTCCCTAACACGGGGGAAACCCGGACACAGCTTTGGTGGAACATCCTGTTCCGCTGGTCAGAGCTAACGGTCCGTCCTAGCCCGGTGGTAGGAGCGTAAGGGGGAGCCGGGGATTCGGCTGATTCTGGGAAAGGAAGGGAATCTGCACCAGGTGGGCCAAGGCAGCCGCCTGGCCGCACGTGCCGCAGCTCAGCCCGGGAGGACGAGTCATTTCCCGGTGGCACGGGGATCCCGAGCCAGGCAAAGCACCGGGCAGCGGAGACGAGAGGGCGTACTTGGCCTGCTTGCTGAGCAGCGTGACGTTCACGTTCCCGAGCACCAGACTCAGGTACAACCTGGGGAGAGAGCAGAGGCGTTAGGGCAGGAGCTGGCAGTGCTGCCGCCGAGGCCAGGCAGGGCCGTCCCCTCCCGTGCCACCGCGGGGCCGGGAACGAGCCCCCAGCTGTTCTCCCCTCGCAGCTGCCAGGCGGTGTGACTGGCACAAACGCTCTGGCGTCTCCTCCCAAGGGCAGGGGACAGGCGGCCGAGCACACACCCCACCTCCC